ATTTTGTCAAGATGTTAACTACTTTTGTTTCATTATTATTATTATTATTTGTTGATTTTATTTTATCATTTTATTTTCTCTTAATTTGTTAACTTGTTCATTTTTTAGCATTGCCAATTTATGACAAGTTTTAGCCTATTTTCCTATTTCTCCAAAATGAAAATTTAAATTTACACATGCAAAAAATGCTAGGGGTTCAAAATTTTTGGATTTAATTTTTATATTAACTTTTATAGTATTTAGTTCAAATATTAAATTCTTATTGTTCAATTATTAAATAGTATGTAATTTTGCGATATAAAGTACAGATGAAAAAAATTTATAATCAGACTTATTGAACATTATAAGTAAATATTTAAAACTAATAATGAGTGTAAATGGTGGTATAAATTGATAACTTAATTTGCAAAAATGAATTTACAAACAAATTAAAATAAACGGGTAAGCCTCCAATTGCTTCCACGTAATAAGGCAACAAAAATAATGTACCACAAGCCCAACTCAATCTATACAATACTAACATATTAAGGTGAAATTCCAAATTTAGCCACTTGTCTAAAGCACATTTGCACCGTTTTTAACAGAGACATGCAAGACATGCAATTTCAAAAGCTCTCAATCACTTCCACGTAAGCTAACAACACCACCGTATATATTAAGTAAGTCAATCTGTCCAACACCAAAACATATAAGTGAAATTCCATAATTAACCACCTACTGATGGTGCCCATACGGGACCATCACTATTGCACTCATATCAGCCAACTCCCCTTTTTATACTTCTTATGATATATATATATATATATATATACTAGGAGGTTTTTGGCTGTGCTAAGTACAGCCTAGACCTCCTATAATCTATTGTCATATATTTTCACATAAGATAAGATTAACAGTAATGCTTGTGAAATAGCATTCTTAAAATCATAAATTACCAATTAAGCATGCTGCTAACAATATAAGACTAAACAAAATCAAAAAATCACCAGTATTGCAAAAGATAAGAGAAGATGACAACAGATTGGCAAGTAGTTTTACAAACAGCTTGATATCTTCAAGTTCAAGTTAATCTTATAAAGACTGGAGATGACATCCTGAATACCTAATATAAAGTGCAGTGATAGGCTGCAATTACAAAATATCACATATTGAGATCCATTAAGCTGCACAAAAGAATAATTGCTTAATGGATGTCCATATTGTGTCAAACGATACAAGATTAGCAATTCAGTTGTAAAGTGCTTCAACATTAGCTAGATTAGCAATTCAAAAGGCTTCAAGCAAGTTTAGAGTCCATCATCACGCAGCTTCTTTAAGGGACTTCCAGGTGCAAGATTAGTTGGAGCTAAAGTTGAGAGTGCATTAGTAGACAGTGAGATAGGTGTATTAACTTCAGTAGAATTCAAACCAATTTCAGAAGGTATAGGTAAAAAAACCAAGGCCCTCTAAGTAACAAAACACAAGGAAAAAGATATATCAGTGGAAGAACATGAACAAAAAAGGGCAAAGAAAAACAGCAAATATTAATTCCTGCATTAGTTTGCTATACGAACTGTTGCACTATAAAATTGTAATCGGTGAACATATAGAAGTCCTAGTCATTGATTCTTGACAGCAAACTATTTGGCTGTCTAAAGAATATCAAAGATGCTAACTAGATGCATACATAATTCGAACTTTAGAGGCAAACACAGCAAGAACAATGATGCACTATAAACAAAACAAAGTAATTTTAATAGGATATCATCAGACACCTAAAACCACAACTGAGCCGAATGACAAGTTAATAACCTTCATTTTCCTTTAGAAATATTTATTACATTTGATGCCTTTGGAGCCCAGGTTTGGCTAGACTACAACAAATACCACCATTCAAATCTCCGTTCTTAAGAAGTAATCATCAGGTTTTTCATTATTCTAAGGTTGTGTCTAGATTAGATAAAACAGTAAGCATATTACATGCAATTTGAGGTAAAACAGGCACAATAACCTAAGTTGCTTAACTGATAGTCATATAAAGGAGTGAACGAGTTTTGCCTAAAAGGGCTACAATGAATAACAGCGGAAGGATGCTCTATATACAATATCCTTAAAATGTAACTATCAAGCTTTTCATTGCCCTAGACAAGTCTAGACTAAATGAAATAGCAAACAAAACATGTACTAAATAATCAATTAGAAATAAGAAGTACGAAGTCTTAAGTTGTTTAACCAATAGTCATTTAGATGACTAAACAAGCTTTGCCAATAACAACCTCTCTGCATTGACCTTAAAGTTTTCTAAAAAATAGATAATCACTCTTATTCCTCATTTAGAACAACAACAGGTCACATATTTTAGATATGTATATTGTAATTAAAGACAAAAGCACCAGTAGCAGAAGGTTGAAATTAGTTAAAAATGAACTTGTCATGTAATAATAACTTTAGCATAACAGCCGCAGCCCCAAAATCAGCACAAGCAAAAGTTTGTCTCGCAAAATATATTGTGCTAATGATTTTGGCTCATAAAATATGTTATTGTTGTCTATTGTTATAATCTTTTTTCTAGAATATATAGCAATTTGGCTGTTTGATAGAACATTAATCATATGCAAACCAATAGGACAGTTCAGTTGGCCATAATCACATTAGCAAATGGATCTCTCTTTTTTGTAGGTATGTCACTAATAATATATATATTTAAGAATTCACCAAATTTCAAAATAAGAATTATTGAACTGGGAGCTGGATTCATATCTTCATTTTTTGCTTATTTTTTCAGGTGAATGGGTTGCAGCAGCACAATTGGATTGAGAAAATATTAACAAAATTACCTACTCAAATAAAAACCACTTGTTTCATAAAGAATCACACAAAACAAATAACACTAGCAAACTTAAAATAAATGAAGCAGAAACTGAAGAAAAACTACTAAAAAGAAAAGGGAATGCTGAAATTTCACTTTTGAAAATATAGTCACATAAATGAAGAAAAGCTACTCGTAGATTCAAGAAAGACAACAAAATGACCTTCAAGTTAAAGGATTCTTTGACTGATGATATGAACCGCAGCAGAAAGAACCTATCAATTGAAGCATATGTGTATATTAGAATTTATTAATCCGTCTATTACTCAAAATTTGATAAAAAAAAAGGGAAAGACTTTTTTTCACCAAAGAGACTCCAAAAAAGGTGTAAATATCAAAACGTTTCTTCTTGCAATTCATAAGACAGAGGAGCTAGAACCATGCACTCATAAATACCTCTATTCCATTTTTTTGATTTTGTAATTCACTGGAAAATTTATAGGCTAAATGAATAGGAAACCTATTTCTTATCATAACTGGAACAAGGGAAAAATCACATCTGACAAGATATTTCTCATCATAATCGTATGGCTGAATGGGAAAACTAATGAGAATAGAATGCCATACCTAATCTAACAAAAAGTTCCCAATTTCCCTCCTTTGAAGTACAATTATCACGTGACTGCCCCACAATTCTTGCAACATGAAATCAATAGAATGAGAAATGGGTTAACATGAAATCAATTCTTGCAATATGAAATAGGTTAATTTGATATTAGAGAAAGAGAAAACCACGGCAAGTGTATGCAAGGTAGTTCACCTGCTCCTAATTTTTCTCTTTTGAAGTACAAACACCATGTGAGTGAGCAGCAATTTCTGCAACATGGAATCAAGTATTTGGAGTGGCAGTTGACCTACTGGCTTCAACGGCAATTTCTGAAAGAAGGAACTCACAAAACCCATCTCCCAAATCACGTAAAAATCCCAACTTTTTGGCTAAAATAGACGTTTTGGATTGGATTTGGTAGAATAGCCGTTTGGAATTGGATTTGCTCAGAATAGGTTGCCCGAATTTTTGGTCAGCATAGCCGTATGGTCAAATTAGCCGTTTGGTAGAGAGAATGGAAGAAAAGGCTTCACCGGCAATTTGAGAAAGAAAGAGTTCAATGCCAAAGGAAAGAACAGGTTTCGTACAATTTGGAAGGAATATTTGACTTTTCCACATGGCTAAAAAAAAGGAAAGCACTACTGAGAAAGAAACAGTTCGATGCCAAAAGAAAGAAAAGGCTTCGGTCAATTTGAAAGAAATATTAAGAGAAAACTTCAACAATTTGTAATTTGTAAGAAATATTTGACCTTGCCACTTGTCAAATAATTGAGAAGCCACTTGGCAAAAGTAAAGGAAAGCACTAAACCTTCCTCCTTTCTTATATTCAAGATAGATATAATGGACTAGAACTCATTTAGCCCACTAGCCCTCCTACCCGTTTTTCCCTTCACAGGAGGCAATAGATAATCCCATTAACTACTAGTCGTAAAGTAGGGTTTTTTTTATAATTTTTTCCAGCAGTGGAGGGTTTTTTTTTTTTAAAAAAAAATTCAATAGAAACATGGTATGATTTATGAAGCAGAGAAGGGGCAGAGGGATTTGAACCCTGAAACTCTAATTTCTTGAGATTCAACCTAAGCTACTAGACCAACTAAAGGCCTCCTCAGCAAAAAAGTTGGAATTTGTTTTCCGTGCACTAGAAAAATATAAATAATACCAGTAATTATTTTGTAAATTTTCTGTTTATCTCAAGACATGCAAATTACTAATTGTGCTAGGACACATTTTTTGTTCATGCAGGTTTATAGGGAAGCCTTGTACAACTCAAAACTCTGTGCATAGCGGATGCTTAACGCCTCTTAAAATCATCTTACCATTTGATCTTTTTCTTCTTTAATTTCCCAATTTGTTTGCCTTTACCCCCCCCCCCCCAAATTCAGTTCTGACAAAAGTCGGATCATGAAACCCAATTTGCAGGTCCTTTCTAGCATTCCTATTATTGCCAAAGAGTGGTACTAGTGCTAATTACATTAATCTTGCGTGTTTTTTTTCCAATTACTTGTTTACTTCAGATGTTAAAACAGCTTTGCGCCGTGTGTCCTAGAGTTCATTGATTTGAAACTAAATTGTGTCAAATGCAAAACAATATCAAGCATGCAGTCATTATGATTGAGATCAAATTGTAGTCCATTTCACAGCAAATCTAAATTTTTAGTTAGTCAATAGTGCCTGCATTGAAACGCCAATTAAGGACTGTTTCGGGGAACATACATCAGAGAAGAAAATACATCTTGATAATGGAAAAGAACACTTTCGAAAACTGATCCAGCCCAAAAAAAAGTGCTATCTATATACGTATACAGCTGAAAAGTTCATTTGCAGATATTTCATCTTCATCTTCAACCACAAAGGCATAAACCAAGTCCTCTGGAATCAAATAATAAAACAATCTTCAACAAAAATCAATCCCGCTTTTGCCGTTTTGGATCTGGCTGCTCAGCAGCCGGAGGGTCTTCCTGCCGACGAGAGGAGGATGCACGATTCCCATTCCCTTCACCTTGTGTCGATGACCCTTGTGTGTTCCTCTCTTCAGTAGTTTGTCCACCTGAAGACGAGTCATTAGAACCAGATCCTCCTCCGTTTTCATATATAATGGGCATAATCTGACGCAATACGTTGGACAGAAAGGCTCCCTCGTCACTTGCTGCTGCTTCTGCTGCATCAGGACGATTGCCATTTTCAGCAGCTCCAACATGCCTGGTAACACCATCTGCATCTCTAACCTGGGAATTACCACTGTCATCCTGTAGATGATCACTAGCAAACACTCCCCTCAGCAACTGTTCAAGTCGACTCATAAACTGGGAAGGATATCCTGGACCCTCCGCCGCTTCACCAACTGAACTACTGTCACCATCTACGCCAACCACATGAACGTTTTCATGCTGAAGTGCTGAATTAGGGATGGATTGGCTTCCCTGTTCAACAGGATGGGTATGAGGTTGATCAGATGCTAGATCACCTCTAGCACCACCTGAAATTCCAGAAGTAACACGCTGAACTCTAGCAAAAATGGGAAGTATCATCCCCATTGTACCACGTGACGGATCAGAAGTTGCTCGTCCACCAGAAGCAGGAACAGCAGCAACTACAGTCCTAATGGGAACTACCCGCACTTCAGGATCTCTAGTAGCAGGGCTTCCAGATCCTCTTCCAGTTCCTTGTTGAGCAGAATTTCCAGTATTAATAGCTGCAGGAACAGTCGATCCATGATTCTGTGCACCATTTGACTCTCTTCGATTTGCACTTGCTGGCACAGCAACTAAACACAAGCAACACAAAAATCGTCACCAAATAATGTAACAGATGGAAAGGCAATCAAGAATCTCTTTAGCCACTAGATGAAAGCAGATTCTCCGTGAGAATATTTAATTCAGATCAAAGAACCCATTCACAAGCCAACAGGGCAAATATTTTGAATGCCATTCAGAAGTTGAATTTCAAGATACAAACAGGACTAGATGTGGCAGAGTACCTGTTCGGATTCTGATATCAATATTCCTTGGAAAGACGCCAGAACCACCAGATCCAGCAGGAATTCCAGAGCTCTGTTGGACAGTTCCACCAGTCGCACCAAACCCTGTTCCCAGTTGAAAAGAAAGTGGCTACATGTAGTTCAAAGAAAAAGCATTAGTATACAACTCAAACATGCTACACAAATGGAAATAAATACATTTATTGGACTTTATTATCACCTGAACCATTATAGGATTGGGACCACTTGGCGATAAGAACACAGCAGGCCCTGCATTTACGATAGCTTCGGCCTGAGTAAGAGACGGGGGTTATTACCATGGTTGGCAGATAAAACAAAATGATTCCCAAGGTTTTTGAATTTGCCATCTAAAACTACGAGTACGGGAACAGATGTAATTTTATTTCAGCTAATTCCGACGTTCACAACGTAGTTAAACATACCGGTGTTTGCCCCATCCGCAACGTCATTGTTGTCCGAGCAAGCTCAAGTAGCACGGCCCCCAAGTTTTGAAGAAGAATTCCCGATCTTAGAGCACTAGATTGAATTCTCACTCGTTCTGAAGCATCAGTCACATTTGCGTGATCCTCCAGCTGTCTTGCAAGTAGCTAAATAAAAAGAAATCAAGAAAACAACAAGGTTCATTAACCATACTCTTATAACAAGATTGTTAAATATAATCATAACAGTAATGATGTCCTATCATATAGACAAAAGCAGTAAGAAAAAAAAAATCTATCAGTTTATCATGCCTGCCTTCCGCAGTTTTTGGCCAAGACAAACCCTGGAAAGCTAGTGAATCAGCCAGCCAGACCTTTGGGGTTGGTATAAAGAATACTCTTCAACTAACCACACCAATTCTATCTCATAGTTTACATCTAACTTTTATTGGATTATTGTTTCTTTTTGCAATGTCAGAATGGACAATGGCAACGTTCTACCTGAATGCCCCGCATTAGCTAAAGACCACAAGCAAGCTTCCACATTAGCAAAAAGTGAAGGCCAGCAAGAAAAGTACAAGCTGAAAACAAGCATAAAGTCAGTTTGTCCAACAAGCTTACAAGAAACATAACAAGTTTGGGCATCCCAGGTTAGTGTATCAAGACCAATTTTTGCCATATCCGGATCCATGTCCCTCTTCTTTTTGTGTTCTTTTCTCATCCTTTTGGGGCAGCTGTTCTTGCTTATGATCTCCCTGACCAAACCTTTAATGTATTTTATTGCAGATCTGGGGAATGGAAGCAACACTTTCCGCACTCAGGGCACCAAGAAAATTTATACGCCCAGTGGCAAGTTAATCTTTCCTTCCACATCTTCTGATCCCCAATGATATTTCTCACTTTACAACAAAAAAAAGGGACTGAAACTCACCAAAAGAACTTTTATTAAACAAAATTCAGTTAAAGAATTTTTAATCTCAGCTTAAGATAGCAGCATTGTTACTTTTGTCAGAACTGAAACCATATGACTTCTCAAATCCATAAGCTTTATTCGCAGCCTACTTTCTTGTCTCTCACACAACATCATAAGATCAGAATCTCAAGATATTTTCACTAACAAAAGTCATAAAAGCAATCACATACCAATAAGCACTCTTCTACTTGTTCATTGAGAATCTGTCTTGCAGTCAGCATCACATCTGCCAAGGATGCCGGTGTTGGAAGTCCTCTTTGGACAGTAGAAACTGATGCTGCATCTGAATTTTGTCCATCCCTCCCACGAATGCCAACAGCCTGACTTAAGTTGGTCTGTTCTTGAACTGCAAACACCATAAGGGAATCTCTCAGAGAAATGGAGACACAAACTAAGATTTCAAGAGCAGAAAAGCTTCCTGACCATTGGCAACAAATTCCTGCCTCAAACGATTTAAGTTCTGGGACAAAGTTGCTAAAGAATCAGGGATAATCTGCAAGAAAAATCAAACTCAATACAATTGTTAACTAGCCTTGCTACGCAGACTGAGATTGATGCAGGAGCATGTTAGCGTTATATAAGTTCTCGTTCAATATTCTGGTAGGTATGCCTTATTTCTAAGTCTAATAGTAGTTTTAGAAACGCACTCTTCATTAATCCTAGTAATCTAGTCCTGCTATCTAAAGTTTCCTTTAGTTTTCTGTGCCAGAGAGTTTGAAAGAGATGGTGCAGGGGAGCACCAAATTGTAGTATCAGATCCTCAAATAAGTTGCTTGTTTAGGAAGATGTGAATCACATCCAATATTGCTTTCTTAGTTCCTCTGAAAATAAGAACAGGAAGCAGAAGACCAAAAGCTAATCCTCTAATCACCAAAAGAAGAATATTCTCCTGAAGGACAAACTACTAGGATTCTTGACTCTTGTCACTCCCTAAAGCACCCATGTTTTGCAAAATAAGTGCTTCCAGACATGGAGAAAGTTGAGAACAGAAAAAATACCAAGACCATAATCAATATATTGTTAAATTCTTCAAAAAAAAGGTATTAAGAATTCAACATATTACTGTATTGTAATTTGTTCTTGATTCCATGACAATAAGAGAATGCTTCCTGCATGAAAAATATAAGAATGATAATAATAACACAAGAAACTTACAGGCGGCTGGAGGGACTCCACAGAATCAGCAGTTGGAACAGAGAAACTACCAGAATCATTTATTGCTTGTCCCCTTGAATCAGCTTGGTCTGTCTGTGGCCTGCTAGAATTTCTTAGACCACCAAGACTAGGGCCGTTTAGAATCCTTTCTAGTGGATGCTCCTGGAAATCATAGTACGCAAAAAGGAAAAAAAAAGAAAAGAAAAGTTGAGACAAATAAAATTAATACATATTCAGTCATATTTCATGATTATTGAGCTCGAACACCCTTCACACAAAGGCTCCACCTAAAATCTGGAAAATTCTTAAAGAAAAGTCAGGAAGAGCAAAGCAGACATGTCTAAATGGCGAAAAGAAAAGAAAAGAAAAGAAATCTTTTTAGCATGCTTGTTAAATGGCGAAAATTAGAGTGAAAGTTGGTTTCTGCCAAGTCATGTCTAACCAAACATTGAAGAAAGAAAACATAAGATCCTTGCTAGCACTATCAGTTATTTTTCAGTTCAATGGAACAGTACCTTAAGGAAACAATACAGTGCCTAAGGCACAAGAAGTATATAAAGCTGCACATAAAGCATGCAGATTTACACTAAGCAGGTCAACCAAGTATAACTGTAACAAGTGAAGTCATAAGAGCTCTGCTTGTGTAATATCAGCAATTAATGTCATGATTCATGGATATACAACTCCTTTACAAATGTCTAGCAAGTCCAAAGAAAACTCATAACCTGAATGCAAAATCTATGACCCTGCCAAAGCAGGACTCCATGGTTTAAATGCCATTTCATGAATACATCACAAGTTTACTGTCAATTAAAACAGGTAAACAGCCATTCATTGAAGATAAGTCTAAAAACATGAAACTTTATCATTGCCAACAGTAGAATTAGCACGTATTAAATTTGTAGAAATTACAACAAAATGCCCCAAAAGAGTATGCGAGGTTGATAGTGGAAAATCTTCAAAAACTTACATTAAGATCAATCCCTTCACTGCCACTTCCAGCACCTGCTATTCCAAAAGAACCAAGCAGAGCAGAAAAAACCTAGAATATGCAAAGGAAAGATAGTAGAATGAAAAAGGGGGGTAAGAAATAAGTCATTCTGACACCATTTAAGTATAACAGGAGCTTTTAATCTAAGGCCCTGTTTGGCAAACAAGTTTTTCTCCTACAAGTTTTTTAACAACTTTAGCTACAGTAACCTCAAAAAACTCCCCAAAATTTTAAAAATCCACACCTTACAATACCCAAAAACACACAAATCCCTTCTTTCTATTCTTCTTCTTCCTCCCCCAACCTCAACCAACCCACCACCAGAACCACCGCCCGGCAACTCCGGCGGTGCCCCACCAGCCACTATTTTTTTCTTTTCTTTCTCTCCTCCCCTCCCCTCTCCCCGCCACCTTCTTCCGCTTCTCCCTCCCCCTGACAGGTTCCTCCTCAACCGACCACTCAATCTTTTCCTCGGTAAGGTTCAATAATTCCTCATCCGCATCATCATGGAGAACCAAATGCTTACCAGAGATTTCATCGAAAAGTTTGATGCAGCCATGGTACCACGATTGGTCCAACGGCTAGTAAATCCTAATTCTTTCATTGACAACCTCAGGTCGGTAGGATTTCATGGGAGAAGCCAAAGCAGAAGGTGAGGAAGGTCGGATGACTAGTAAGGGTTTCTTTGGTCTGGTTTCCAGAGCTGAAGGAGTGAGCAGGCTGGAGCTGGGGGAGGAGGGTGGCGAGGGGAGGGAAACGGGGGAGAAGGTGGCGGGGAGAGTGGGGAAAGGGGGAGGAGGAGAAGAGGGGAGGGGAGGAGAGGGGAAGAATGTGACGAGAAAGAAGGGAGAAGAGGGGAAGAGGGAAGGAAGGGAGGGAGGTAGGAGGAGAAGGGGAGGACAGGAGAGGGGAGGGAGGGAGAGAGAAAAAAAAAAGAGAGAGAGAAGGCTGACAGCGCCACCGTCGTCGACGCTGGAGAAGAAGAGCAGTGGGGTGGGAGAGAAGGAGAGGAGAAGAAAGAAAAGGAAAAAGAAAGAGAGAGAGAAAGAAATGGAAAAAGAAAAGGGAAAAAAAGGATAGATTCTTTTTTTTGTTAAAAAGGAAAGTTTTATTACAACTCAAAAAGTTTTCCTACAAATTCTACAGTAAGTTACAGTAAAGTTTTAGACAAACACCCAAAAAACTCATTTGCCAAACGGGGCCTAAAATCTATTTTCCAAAAGAAAAGAGTACTAGCGGCCAAAACAGCAACACTCACACGACTTAAATCAGGAAAACTTCCATCTTGTTCAGAGATATTAAAGCTTCCAACTACAACACCAGGACCTCGGCTTCCTTGACTACGCCCACCAGTGGATGCAGGATCAGTAGCTGCAAACATGTTGTGCTTAATCATCAAATTTTTCTGACAAAATTTGCAAAAACAACAGAGGCAGACACAAGGAAGATACTTGACAAAGAATAACCAAACACAATCGGATTAAAGGCAGGTGCATAAAGAGAGGAAAACTATAGAAGAGCAGGAACTAAAAAGGGGTTTCACGGTACATCCCCCAGCACTTAAATTTTTGAGCAATTAGCACCTATTGAAACAGTCAAGTTCAAATACACACAATAATAGCCACATCTACCTGTTCACCCATAGATTAAGTAGAAGACGCATCCATGCAGCACCTCTAACATGAAATCTTACTTCGACTGGGTCATTGGGTAGACCAAGACCCAAAATGTGGGTCCCAAATGTGTGCCAAGGCCTACAATTCTAATATGTCATTGTCCAACAGTAGACCCAGTCTACTTCATCAAACTCCACTGATTACCTTCCCTTCTTTTCCTAACTACCATCCAACGATTAGATCAACTGACATGCAAGCTTTGCCTCCACAATGGCTAATCCTGCCTCACCAACTTTATTTACCAGCATGATCCTGTTTACCACTGCTAGGTCTGTGAAGAGCTAGGTATACACAGCCTTACCACCAAGAAAGGAGTCGGTCTCTGTCAACCAACCCCTTGACCTCCAGTGTCACAATGCAAAGTCAAATGGACGTAGAGGGAGTGAATCTCTCTCTTTCTTCACATATTATCCAAATTAGCTCTTCCGACCTTGGCCATGGACTAAGGCGCAAGGCTCACTGCTTCACCAGCAGACAAAAGGTTCTAGACTATCCAATAAAACTAAAGGACATGTTTCAGGACAACTGAAACAGATAGGCACGCTTTGTACCTGCTAGCGAAATAATTTCTCAATTTATCTCATCCATCTGATATGTTCATAATCAGCCACATAAATCTACAAGAATCTGCCATTATCCCACCAACTCTGTGAAATAATCCTCAAACAATTAGATAGATTTAAGAAATTCCAAACTTCTTGCGTTCTACAGGAATTGATTATCACAAACTCTGAGACCATAATAGTTTTTGTCTCTTTGTCTTTTCCCATTTCCCCTTCAAGAAGTACATCATCAAGACATAGATTAGGTAACAGAATAATAGCATTAATGCTTTTCCACTTTATGCATTGTCGTACTGATTATCAGTTTTTAAAACTAGAGGTAGAGAAGACCACAATAACATAATTTGAAGGTCTAAAAAGGATAATACTGCTCTAGGCATAAGCGAAGACAAGGCCCTATTAGAATGGACAAACATTTACTAGCTCACTGACGGAAGGGGGGGCAGGGAGGGGAAGCTGCCGCCCCAAGATTTTATAAATTCTTTTATGTACCTTCTAAAATTTTGAAATTTTCACATATATCCTTGTAAAATTTAGATCTCCCCCCCCCTCCGGCGGGAAAAACAAAAAAATTTAGAAATTCCTTTATATGCTCTTAAAACGGTTAATATTTTCACTTCTACCTTTGACCAAGTTAGCTTTACCCCCTAAGCTTTTTGCAAAAATTGCAAGACAACTACTTTGAAATATACAATTTTACAGTCTAACCCCACCAAAGCTAAGTTCCTAGTTCCACCAGTGTACTAGTTGACCACATAGAATATGAACAGGGACCAGTTTAGGGGTTACATGGAATGCCAAACGGTTTCTCAATAGAAAATGAAAAAAATGTACGTTGACTAGCATGAGTGCATTCAGCTTCCAATGACAACTTAAGGGCAACCGATGAGTTCACCATTTCATTGTACACCATTCAAAGGTCAAAGAAATAAGAAACTATAACATGAGTATTTAACCAACAGGAATCCAATATTACAACATCTTTATTGGTAGAGCTTATGAAGATTATAACCAGAACATCTTCCTCTGTGTCACCATAAACAAACGGCAAAACGAATAAAATACCAGACAAACATATCAACAATAGGCCTTTTAGCATATCAACAGAATACCGAACTTAGCCCTGGATCTAACAGTGTATTACATAACTGAAAGTAAACCACAGCAGTAAGTTCCTCATGAAATCAGTCATAAACAACACTAGTCAACTTTCACATTGATGCCATATATGTCATAGCATTATGCTGCAAACCCTGAACTGCATTCCATATTAGTTTTATTGCAGGATTATTCTGCTACCCATCTCTCACGTAACTATCTACAGAGATAAAGTTGAAATAAGACAGCTATCCCCTAATTTGAACGACAATGTACATATTCTTCTGGACCAACTTACTAAATAACTTACATACCCAGAACAAACACTGAAACTTTTCAAGTTTCAGATAAGTTTCAGAGCCATTGCAAGAAATAACGCCTTACAGTCTGCCTAAGATCAAATGATAACAACCTTGCAGAAGCATCCATTTCTGATATATCACTAAATCAAAGGATGGAGTATGTGCAGGGAAAGGTGAATAGATAATCAAGATCCATAAACATCACCATGACCACAAAGTTTCTTTGCTACTAACTTCAGTCAATAAACGATTCAATTTCAGGATGTCATTCAGGCTCAAATCTCCTAGACAGTAGTAAATTGAACAATTCTTCAGTTGCTTGAAAACCAAAGATCCAAGTGACTATCATGACTATGAAAGGAACATTCTGATGACTGTAGGTTCTCATTTGAGAAGATTGATTCTCAGAATTAGCACTTCCACAAAATATTGAAAGCAGTAAGGATGGCATGACAATAATATAGTCAGTGCACTGTTTAATATAGAAAAGGCCAAGACAATCTTGTATTTAGAAAGAAGGTGCATCTTTCCATGCTCCTATATTAACTTCAAACCCAGCTTTTCACACCAGTCATCGAAAGGAATCAGATTCACAATGAAATTTGTCTGCAGATACAATATGTCCTACCTGGATTCGGAGAGCCCTCTGATGATGGAACAACGGGTTGTCTCACAACCAAGTGCAATGTATGTCCATCTTCCACATCTGATAAATATTTAGTCAAGGAACTCAGCTATCCATACAGCAAACTTCTATATCAGACATACCAAAAGCTAGAATTTTATTCTAGCTGGAAGACACCGCTTGATTATAGCAGGTAGTCTCCAATGTCAAAGCTCAAGCAACATTTAATACTCAATGACAGAAGTAGTAAAAATGACAATGATCATAAAAAACACAAACAGGAATACACACTATTAACTTCCCATTTAATAGAGCTGAGCATAAATTGCCATGATTTTTTTTTTCCTTCCAAGGTAATTATGCAGTCAAACACAAACGAAAACTATATATATGCAGTTTGCTAATTAGTCCTTCATAGAGCCTCTGCAATAACTGAAACAGAAAAAGATTAATTTCAAGCTGTCAAGATCCATCTTTTATCAAATAATTCCCAAGTATGTAAAAGTCTGGAACAGATATTTTGAAACTGCAAGTAATCATTATCAGCATATAGACTTAACAGAGTTTTTATTGCTCATGGATGTACAAATAAATTCTTCTGAAGACTGGTATTGTTATTTCCACTAAATCAAGGAATCATGAATTGCGATAGGTTATTGGGAGACACAACTGTAGAGAGTAATTTATAATTCATTCTCACATAGCCTATAACTCTTTAACTTTGTTTCATAAGCGAAAAAAAAATGTTAAAGCTGGTTATAAGGGTGTAAATTCCCTATTGTTAAGATTCTATTGGACGAAAAGAAAACCACAATAGAACATAAAATAGTAAGAAGATGATTGTACCCTGCTATAAGCAACACCAATGGAATTAGAGTAACTAACTAAGAAGCTAATGACATACGGAAAAAGGATACGATAAGCGGAAAGAAGTTGATCATCCTTCAAAACTTTTCCCCGACATATAAGCCGCTGCTGTTCTGACAACACACCAGTAACTACAGCAATTTGTTCCTTCAGTGCAGGGACAGGCACCTGCAACAAGAATTGGAAGATTAAAACTGTTAGAAAAAAGGACTGACACCTGCAATACTTCTTTAATAATGCATAAGCAAGGTAACAGCAAATGATCCAACAATTTATTGGCAGTGAGGAAATTAGAACAATATCCAAGCATCAAACTAGGTACAATACTGAGAGGAGGTGCCCTAGAACAATGTGCCGGCAATTATTCACGGGAAGAACAATAGGGATCCAAAAGTACATACACATTTATCCACTCGTAATGTGTAAGTCTGAGAATCCAATGTCTTTATCTTTATCTCAACAGTGGTCTCTGAACAATTTGCCTCATCTTTTCCTGAAACCACCCTGTTGTCATCACCATTGCCGGCCATTCCCTTAAAACTGTCTCTGATCCTTGAAAGTTTAGGATCAAAATTTCAGGTTGTTCCAAAGGCAAGCCTGGAGGATAGCTAAATCATGCAAAGAGAACAAAATCTTGATCCAGAACATCATTTCCATTAATGCAAGCTCATAGGCATGGGTACCATGAAACCATAGCCTAAGTATAAGCATGCAGACAGGGAGGGGACATGAAAATGCGAAAATATGTGCAACTTTTTCGCGGTCACGCCAAGACATGACACTTAAACCGTTACTAATAAGTATGGCACCTTTGTTTGTCAAGTTTTTAACATTATTGCATACGACAAACAATGTGATCACATCCCATAATTATTAGACATCAGTTTTTGTCACGTGCACTTGCAACACATCCCAGCAATAGCAAGAAGTGTAGGTTCAGAACCACGATTGGGAATCATCGTGCAGGGTCAAAACCAACCTCGTCTGGAATCACACATCACAATTACACTGGTTACAGGGAATGGTGAAGGAAAAGGGATCAGGATTTCATTGACACTTGGCGTCTTCTTTTGCCCTGAAGCAGAAAGAACATCTACCCAACTGTTCAACCAACCCAAATTCTTTTGCTATTTGACAAGTAATCCAAACAGACTAATCTTAGCTAAACAAAGCTCAAATTTGAAGCTCCGAAACCTCAGTGTTGGAACACCGTTACAGCTAATTATCTACATGACCAAGGGATATTAACCCTAAAAAAAAAGAAAAAGAAAAGGAAGCCGTCAGGACCCTATAAGGAACAATATCTTGGCCAAAAAATCAATCTTTTTTTGACTACCGAATGAATTGAATAAGCACAAGAGAAACAGAACTAAAGGGGTGGTGTATTGGAGCTGGACCAAGTAGGAATAACCCTAGGATCCTAAGCAAAAGGCAGGCGCTGTATCTATTCTTGAATTCTTGATGATGAGACAAGCGATGCAAGATGAATCATATAAAATAAAACAAACAAAATAACAGAAGACGAACAAAACCTTGTGGATATGGGATCTCCCAGAGAGAGAGAGAGAGAGTCTGGGTGGGTGCTGGAGGTTTAAACTGCAGTCAGCAAATGAGCAGCAGCAGAGAAAGAGGAGATGAGGTGTCAAATGCGGATGCGTAGACAAAGCCGGAGAGTCTCCCCTCTCAATACTACACAGTTCTCAATTCGCTAATGCCCGCAAGTATTTACCTTTTAGAGTGTCTTGGATAATTGTTACACAAAGGGAATTCTGATGCAGATAGACCGCATGAGTTCCTTCACGCATTTTCCTTGCGAAAATGCCCCGTCTCAAATGAATTATCAATTTTAAAATAATAACTATATACTTCTCGTGAAATCAAATTGATAAAATTTGTTAAAACAATAACTCTGCCTCCATTACAAGATCATTGATAAAATTTGGTGCCAACCAGAGTTTTAATCACTTTTTACACTGAATCCATGACGTAATCTATACATGCAGTCATTTTTTAGAGTTAAAATGTTAGATCCCTTTTATAATTAAACAAATAATCGATCCATATTCATTTTTACTCCTAAAAAAAGTAGGATCAAATCTAATCCATATTTGTTTTTGCCATCTTTTTGATATCTGGCCTTTTTATACATAAAAAAATGACTACGTATAGGTCATGTGGTGATTAATTCAATCTAAAAAAAAAATGGCTAAAAACTTAAGTTAAGATCAAAATTAACTTGAATTTGTAAGTGACGTAAAGTTAACATTTTAAAAGTGAATGATAAAAAAAATTCATTTGACAATAAATGAGTGACGTTTTAAATATTTTTCTTTTTTTCCCCTTTTTTCAAACAGCTTGATTTAGCTCTGAGCTGAATTAGAGTATACAATACCGGGTTTGAAAGTTCGTGAAGCTTAATTGATCTTGATAAGACATATACTTGTTTTATTTTTAATGTTTATTACAGGAAAAAACATCCATGTGTTCATTTTAAAACACATTGTGCTTATCATTTATTTTTATTCAAGTTTGATTTGGCTAAAACTTGCGCCCAATATTCAACGTAACTTATCTAATCTAAACGAAATTAAATTTGAAGTTATTCACAATAATTGCAAAAACAAAACCAAAAATTTTTGAAAATTCAAGAAAATAACATAGGAATTTAAATTTGATTTTCTATGTTAATTTAAGATTGTGCATTTAAAAACACACCCAAAGTAAGGGTCGGTTCAACAATTAACAAGAAGAGGTTTTTCTTAGAATCTTTAGATAGATAGGCTAGAGGTATAAGACAGTAGTAGTAGTAGTCCTACTCCATACATATATTTTCTCCCCTTTTTTTAAAAAAAATATATATATTTTTTGGGTCTCTTTCCTTTCTTTGATTAATCTTACCGTCCTAGTTCATTATAAAGCAGGCGCGTAATATTTTCTCTTTTTTCTGTAATAAATACTACTCCATACATGACAGTGCAGCAGGTTTTTGTTTTTACAGAAGAGGGTGTTAAATGCACGTGGAATTGGAAAGGAACGGAAAGGAAGGCAAAAAGGTGCAGGAGGGAACGAAAACTAATCTATATTTGGTTGGTAATGGTTTGTGTTGATCGTACATCGAATTATAAACTACGTAAATAAGAAATAAGTGCTATTCATTTTTTAAATGGAACCTCAATTTACTATCAACTATTCAGTTCGCTCTCTATCTCTTTGAATTAACAAGGCGATAACCCCTATTTATAGAGGGATTTAAAATATATCAATTAACTTGTAATAAAATGTTCTCGTAAGTTGCGATAGTTTTATCATTTCAGGAGAAAGTGATAAGATCTTTTCGTGCTAATTTCGTCGCCTCGAAACAGAGTCGTGATTAGGGGTGTGAATCGAAATCGAAAACAGTGATTCGAAATTTTTTGAAATTTTGGTATCAAAATTTTTGATCGATTTCGATTTCGAATTCACCAATTCCGATTTCACCGAATTCATGAATATAAAAATTATTATTATTATTATATAAATATTGTATTACATATATATAAAAAAATATTATATATATGTGTGAAAACGAAATAGGAATTTCGATTTCACCGAATTCATGAATAAAAAAGTTATTATTATAATATAAATGTTATATTATATTATATTATATTATATATATATATATATATGAAAAACAGATTTGAAATCGAAATAGAAATTCCGAATTCAATTTCGATTTCGATTTGAAAAATCTCACCCAAATTCGACCAATTCGAAATCAGATATTCCGATTTCCATTATGAAATACCGAATTTGAAATTTCGAATTCGGTCGGTAAATCAGAATTTTTCGATTTTACACACCCCTAGTCGTGATGGTTCTATCGAGAGAGTGGTAATAATTTTAGCACCTCAAAAGTCTATAGTAAATTTAGCACTTCAAAAAAGATCATGAAAAGTTTGTCATCATGTGGCGGGGATGAGCTGAACATGATCGACATCAAGATTTTGTCAAATTGAAAATTCCCACCTGCCCTCACGCCATATGTGATTACAGATAGTTGGGCCTTTCCGATCTAAAACGTGAAACAACTGAGCCTACGCCAGGACTTTGTTGGGCACGTTGATTCCGGTTTTGATGGGCCATGGGGCCAGGATTTGCATATTGGCCCAGGTGGACAATGTGCAATGCGGGAACGGTTTTACTGTCTAATGGTAAGGAGCTTCTGTAATACTAATTGGTCTTTATGGGATTGGCACAAGCAAATGCATCCGTCAATAGGTTTTGTACATAAGAAGAAACCTTCCTGTTCAAATAGCGTATTTGTTTTAGATAATATGAACAGTTAAGGGTAATATATTGCTCGTTCCTTCCGTGTTATTGAAAGTGTCATACTTTTCTTTTTTTATTGTTCCGAAATATTTGTCATGTTTGATATTTCTAATTATTTTATACTCCGAAATTTCCTTCATGCTATTCATTAATGACATATAAAGATAAATATGATGGGATTGCTTTCTACTTTTTTACTTTAATTAGTATATGATTAATGAAAAAAGTGAATCAAAAAAGAAAAACTTCTTGATGAAGTGTACCATGCATAAAAAGTACAAATCTCCAAACATGACTAAACATATGGGACGGAAGGAGGGAGTACATTTTATCACTCAGGAAGGCAAAAAAAAAAAAAAAGGCTCCCAATCCCCAACAATCCAACACCTCCCCCCCCACCCCCCCACCCCAAAATAAAAAAAAAAGAAAAAAGAAAAATTAACCATATTGGTTATTGTGGACAAAATCAATAATCCATGCTACATGGCCGTGCGCCTTCATCTACAAAGAGTCTTAAAAGGGGAAAAAGAAAAAAAGAGGATGACGTTTCTTCTTGTACCCTATTTGATAGTTGGAAAAAAAAAAACAAAAAACAAGAACTGATTTTCAGCAGGAGCTAAAAGGAACTGCTTAAATTGTCCGAAAAATCCGTTGTCACTGTCACTGAAATTGTGGGGAGCATCAGGCCAAGCTACCAGGAATAAAAGATGTGGCTGCGTTTAGATCAGAAGTGATCACGACATTTAGCAGTAGTATCAATATAAAACACAGCTCTTCAAGATTCTTACCAACCCTCTCGAGTTTTAAACACATCATCTCATACACAAAAAAAAAAGGAGAGAAAATCAGCACTGCATTGCATTTTATGAGTGATAGATACTACATTGCAGCAGCAGTGGGCATGGTGGATTAATCAATGCACAGTATCCGAAGACATACAATTTGGAAATCTCTGCCTTGCCTCCCAACGTAATTATTTACGGTACCCCCCCCCCCCGGCTCCAAAAAAAAAAATAGCCTTTTCTGCATTTATATTTTCTGCTTCTGCTGCTGATTGATTGATCTTTATTGCTCCTTGTTCCTAAATAATAATAGGACTTTAATCGTGGTGGGTAAAGGCGGCCTCATCATGGTCAAAATGATCGATGGTTGTGTTTGGATTGCATTTTCCGTCATTTTTCATGGAAAAAATACTGTAGCGATTTGATATATGTGAGAAAAAAATGTGATAGAGAAATGTGATCACGGAAAACGATAATATTTTTCAACGGAAACAAGCAATCCAAGCAAGGCTAAATTTGTTTTCTTCATGCATGCATGGTTGCTTGCATTTAGGAACCGATTTCCACTAATCAAAAACCTCGCCATATTCTCTAGTACAGAATTCTCTGATGCACCGTCCGGGCAAAGAGCAGCTGAGTTGTCGATGATCGATCGGCACCATATTCTCTTTCTTTTAAAAAAAAAAATTTTTTTTTTTCTCCAGCTGTACCAGGGCGCCCTCTCATTAGTGGAGTGTAAATAAGGTTGTGTTTGGATTATAATTTTTTTTAAAAAAAATTTCTAGAAAACATACTATAACGAATTAATATATGTATGATAAAAAATTAATTAAAAAATATATTTACAGAAAAAAAAAAATATGCAGAGATTTTTTGGCAAGTAAGGGAAATTTTTTTCTCCACATCCGCCTCACAGGTCAGCCAGCCACCTGCCATATGGCAATTATTAGATGCTGCAAGTTACACGGACCGTGGTAAATGGACCTACTTATTACCATTCCTAATTCAGGATTTGCTCCAGGAGTTGGTCGCCTAAGTTTAGCCACGATCGAAGCAAAACATATTTTATTATTATTAAGAAAATGGTCTTCGTCCAGAATGGGCAAACCATTAGGAATTCTTATTTATTTATTATAGCAGTATTAGAATTAGGGATGCACGCGAGTCGAGTCATAATCGAGTAGCTCGATCAACGGTTTGACTTGAACTCGAGTTGATCGAGTTCGAGCCGAGTCTCGAGCTACTTGATTGTCATTCGAGTCGAGTTTCGAGTCAATATTTTGAGATTCGAAACTTGTCGAGCTACTCGTCAAGTCGGAAGTATTTAAATAATATATATATTATAATTATAAAATAATCATTATGGGTATAAGTTTTACGGAATTTACAATAAACTCTTCTTTATAATAAAATTTAAAGAGTTGGACCTACTTATTACCATTCCTAATTCAGGATTTGCTCCAGGAGTTGGTCGCCTAAGTTTAGCCACGATCGAAGCAAAACATATTATTATTATTATTATTAAGAAAATGGTCTTCGTCCAGAACGGGCAAACCATTAGGAATTCTTATTTATTTATTATAGCAGTATTAGAATAGAATAATGAGGTTGCTGCGTATATTCC